GAAGACTTGTCATGCCGTCCATTGATTTGAATGCTTTTTTTTTCACTCAGGACTGGGTGAAGGCTAGAGAGCTACTGGAAGCCTCACAGAGCATCTACTCTGGCCTGGCTTCCTCTGTAGACGAGGACCTCAAAGCCTTGTACACCGGACGCATAAACGAGTTGCTGCCGCAAATCCGCTACTGTGCCTACAGCATTGGTGATGAGTCTGCGGCCACAGAGCTGCGGGAAATGCGCAATGTCGCTGTAGAGGGCTCCGACCTCTTGGCCGAGTATCAGCTTGATGAACTGCTGAAGCAGGTGCAGGCCATGCAAGCTGTCAATGTCACTGAAGTCGAGTGGTTGGGTACCACCATACCCATAAAGCAGGAGAAGGCACGGTTGGCCGTTCTCGCCGTTCAGGTACTATTTTGTTCAGTTTGATTACTTTCCGAAGACTGCCTGTGTGTGCTGTATTTATGTTTTTTGCGGTCCTTTTTTCTGTTATTATTTTAAAGCAAGATATATACTACTTCAAGAGCCCGAGTGAGGTGTCTTCAAGTTATGTGGGTTCTAGCTTGCTTGTGTATAGGACCTAGAAGAGCCCTAACTAACAGAATGAGGCAATTTGCCTCCAGACCATAGGTAAGACCGTCTAAACGTGACCTTCTTAATTGTTTTCTTTTTCTTTAAGAGTTCTGATATTCCCTCGTATAGAAGTATTTCACGTACACGTAGGCACCAGAGCGTGTGTGATACGCGTAAGCGAAGATGTAGCCTCGTCAGACACTTCCCATGCCCATCTCCAGTTTTCTTGGTTATGCCTTTTCGTCGGAACACTGTAGTAGTCTACTTGAATATGAACACTACAAGCCTCAACTGCGCTCTCGGGAGAATGAGGGTCACCTTCCTTTACGATGATTGAGCCACCCCTTACTTATTGACTTTGAAGGCAAAATACCACCTTCGCCTTATTGATCCTTTGTTAGTCAATTACTCCAGAATTCTGCATGTCCGAATCTACATAATATTCGCTCACCTTCAGGGTTGAATTATATATTAATGCTGTTTTAAAGTTCATGAGGAAAAGTCGAAGTTAGCATCTGTGACAGACGTAGTGGTCTATACCAAAATATATATTATACTCGTTATGATTTGCATGCAAGTTGGCATCCGTCCATACAATTGTCCCTTTGCACTGTTTAAGGAAGCTGATAAGGAACTGAAGAAGGTCGGCTCTAGCCACACAAAGGCTACTTTGTGTGAATCTACTCTGAAGACTCTGGTGGAGGCAATTGCCAGCCTACGTGACGAGATCCGATCACTGTCATCCGTCGACACCGCGTCTGCCGTGGCCTCCAAGTCACTTCAGAAGAACCGTGGAATAGAGAAGGTTCGTGCCTCTATTGTTTTTCTTGCTAACCTTATTCGCTCTTTTTTTGCAGGAAAAAGAGGGACATCAGAAAGAACTAACGTACTTTCTCCTCTCTGTATTGCAAATAACCCCAGTATTAGTGTCCTATCGACAAATGACGCTATCGAAATTTAACTAAATTACGCATATTGTCTATCTCCGCTTGTGTCATTGACAGTAAACTCTTTAGAAATGATAATAACCTCATGACTGCTTGATTACCTTCGTCATCTACTTTTTTTAAAGTTTGACAGTTGACTCGACCCACAAGTTGTTGTAACGGTGACAAGCTGAGATGTCGCCGTCGGATTACGTCCTGTTGAATTCCCAAGGAAGAACACAACAACAAAGGCGTAAAAGTGGGAGCCACCAGACTGAGGGTTTTATTGTGTACAGAACCCGGAGTTGCTGTCTTGGGTGGCAGTGGCCGCGGGCGAATTCCAGGCTGATGTGGACCGCGCCTAGTCACACTTACGGGTGTCTGCAAGTCCCTGTGTGAGATGTGACAGTTGCTTATAAGTGATTGTGAAGCGACTCTAAGTGTTCCATTATTGGTGCGTTGGATTACTCGAGGGGTGTCGAGTATTGAGGTCACTTGCTGCGTGGCCGCAGGGTTGTGCGCTCACGTTTGCTCGCGTGCGTGTGCGAGTGAATATTCGTCCAGCGGTTTAAGTGCATAGTGTGGGGACAGTCACCACCGCGGACACATGACATTGAGGCTTCTCGCATTGCACAAAGAACCATTTTTGGCTGTCGGCCACAAAAGCGATTCGTCAGGGCGGCCTACAAGGTTATTCTGGCAGTCGGTTAGGCTGACTCCTAACACAAGTGCTTTACTTAAAGAGCTTGTCCAACTTTGTTCTCTCTGCGCATCTCGATCGTTTGCAAAAATTTGGTAATTTCGTCTTAATGCTCACTTACCCCTTTCAACTGTAATTTGCCACCACTGTACATAGGGGATAAATACATACCTTTAGAACAAAACAATAACAACAGCAACAGAAGTCCGGTACTCTAACAGCGTGTATT